GGCCTAGTGAGTGACGTCAGGAACTCTTACTTTTAACTCCAACTGGCCGTTTTCGACGTGCTTTGGCTTTCAATGTAATGCAAAAAAGATTTATAGAAGAAGAGAACTGAAAAAACGGAAAAAGTCTCAACCCCCCCAAAAAAATGGAAGTTGGGTCACTTATATTTAAAGGTACCACTAAGCTACCACTTAGTGAAAAAATAAATAATAATAAATAAATACATACATAATAAGGACACTTGGAATTATTTTCTCCATGAGGGTGAATCACGAATCAATGATGCAGTATAAAGGGATCGAAAACTGTATGGAGTGTCTTCAGTAAGAAACAAGAAAAAAAAGTTCGAAATGCAATCTCTGATCCAGATACTTTTTTTAAGGTCCCAAAAAGGGGAGGTCTCGTCCTGTTTGAATAAGCATCATCAAATGGAAGAAATAAGATCGCGCAAATGAAATAGTAGATGCTACTTGAAGAGGGGTGTATTATGGTTTTGAAATTTAAGTAAACAATCGGTTACATTTATAAAAAAATATTTTATATAGTCATGTCCGATGAATCACCGAGATGCTCCACCTATGAGATAAGTGAGTTGTCATTGTGAATTTTTTTTTTTTTTTTTTTTATGACAAGCTATTATTCTCCTCTGTCACAACTCTGGCCAGCTGCACAAATCAGTACATTTGTGTCAAAATTGTCAATTTGTCAACTGCCGTACGCAAATCAATCAACAACTAACGTCCTCATTCCCAAAGACAATCATTTACTCAAACATTGTATCTCATATGTCATCGTTTCAGTGAGCCGCTAACATATTCGGCGTGATGCAGATGATATTCAATTAAAACCCTCTACATGACTAAAGAGTACGTCTGGATTGACAGCAATAAGTCGAACCTGTCTTGGGAGGCATTTGCGACATATCATTGGCTTCATCAACGCTGTCATAACTCACTCATGCGACATAATTGGAATCCATTTTGTCATCCTCATTAATGACTGCATTCAAAAGCATTGACCCGTGGAGGCCACCACTTACCTGGTCAGGACACCCGAGAGGAAAGGCCACTCCCCTTTCTTCCTCCCCCCATCATGAATAGAGTATTATGTCTGTTTTCGGTCTCAATGTGTACCATTGGTTGGGTCTCTGAACCAAGTCCATCCCATCAGTAGAGGCTACTTTGAAGTTAACCCTCGCCTGCACACTGCCCCACTGTCTCAGTTGTTAGGGTTCCAGGTCATCAGACATCTGGTTGGTAAGGGTGAGCCACTGTGATGGTGCGCTAATGAAAATTAGGGAGGGTGTTTGCAGTTAGGGTTGATGGGTGGGAGAAGTACACGTGGTCGGAAGTCTGTGGTGTGTTTATTCTATGATTGGCAGATGAAAAGGTGATTGATCTTGAATGGCTCTTTAAGTATAGAGATTTTATTGGGGGTGTGGGGATCAAACATAAAAAAATATTGATTGAGCACAGCTTGAAATGAAAAAAAAATGGGAAGTGGCTGAACGAAATAAAATCATCTGATCAAGATATGTATTTTTAAAAGTAGATGTCTGCTTCAAAAATTGAAATAAAATTGAGTGAATTCTACAAAAACTTTTCTCAGTGTATTGCCACAAGCTTCCTCTCAAACAAAATGTGTTATTGAAAAGTGAACTGAGCAGACCATTGTTGTTCATTTTTCCTGAAATAACTTTCTTTTCATTTGTGATTAGCAAGAATGGGGTCTGAGTTTCTTGACAGCGTCTGAAAAGTATGTTTTTATTTATGAGCGCAAAATTGTGGAAAAATGAAATGGACAGTCACTATGTTGTCTATTTTATGGTTTCTAGATGACAACTTCCATAATTTGTCTTCCACATGGTTGTATTTTCCATTCATGTCTCTTAATGCTGTTAAAAGAGCATATTTGGGGTCTTTTTTGGCTGCCTTCTCCCATCCACTGGCAGGAGTCTCTTCTGCTATCTATACCCTTAACCTGTCAGCTCCTGCTAATTGTTACATCGTTTTAGCTCTCGGTACTGGTTCTGACCCCTGCGTTTGGGGGAATGAGTAATTGAACAAGCTTTGGCTGTCAGATCGGGTTATCCTCCCAGAAATCTTGTCACTGTTACGCTGACAATACAACCCGTTTACTCGCCAGACACGCCAGCAATTACCAGCTCCCCAGTTGAGCGGTGCCACGCTACCGCCTGGGGACAGGCAGATAGGGGTTGGAGGAACGAGGGGGCTTCATTAAGGTAGCGTAGTGGATCAACGATCAATCCGTGTGTGTGTGGCTGGGTGAGAGTGTGAAGGTTAAATTGTTTGGTTTAAGATATTTGATGGTAAAGGTCTGAGAAAGTCCATTGACGACCGTGCGCACAATAGGACCGAAGACAAGATGAATTTAGGAAATGCACTACATAGAATTGATGTTTTTGTGTTATAGGCCCTTGGAAAATCAGGCTTTTAAAATGGCCATTTACAGGATTGGATCAATGAGGGAAGAAAATGGTTGAGGCAATGAATGCCTGTCGTGAATTAATCAGGATTGTTAGGCCTGCTGGGAAATAAGCATTCGACTGGAGAGACGAGTGTGTGGGACCGCTCGGTGTCGCGTGCGAGGGGTTGTATGGAAAATGGTCACATCTTAACCCGATGACCACGACCTGGCTCCTGGCTCACGGGGACAGTGGGGCAGTGACACAAGCAGCAGCACGGGGCCCCTACAACACGACAATGCTTCTCAGTCATCCAATCGATATGCAAGACCCGAAAGCCAATTGGGGACGTTATCTTGAAAAATATGGAGAGGACTTTCTGATTTGCTATTTACAAGGGACAGAGGACATAGTTTAGAAATGACACGATTGCTCAGACCTTCTACAACCACGCATTTGTGTCACATTGGAACTTTGAATGGAGCTGGTGTGAATTAGCAGCAAGACTGCAAATGCGTCCCCCGACCAAATTGAGGGGCCCTCTAACCAACTCCAGGCCTACATTAGAAGTCTAAATGCATTTGGAGACCAATAGTGTCATACAATTATCTTACAGTCAGTATTTTCAAACTCCTGCTGTTATGTAAGGTATCTATTATGTATATTTGTTTTCAGAAACTGAACGTTCTTAATCGGGGTGGGCAGAACTGATATTAACTACCAATCTAACTGATGTTTCAGTTAGTGGATTAACAGATGATTCTGTTGATTGTGCGGACTTGGATTGTTGATGCTAATGGGACCACACCATAACCATTTATGATCAGATCCTAGTCCAGAAGATCTGCCGAGGACAGAATTGAACCAGACTTGCAAATTCAGTCTGGGCTTGTCTACTAAAGTCAAACAATTTGTATTCAAAGATAAAAAGGCCCCAACCTATCAGAGCTCACTCACAGCATTTGGTACTTATTTCGCTCAACGTGTATTGGAAGAATTTTCACTCTGTCTTTTTTTTTTTTTTTTTTTTTTTTTAGCACGACGTGTACAGCCACGGTGTGGCGAGTGTCACTCTGGGAAATTACTATAGTCTGACATATTATTGTTGTCTGGGACAAAAGGAGACATTTTAATGTAAGAGATTGCTCCTTTCAAACAATAAAAGTGTGTAGAGTTCAAATGACTTCTAAAGAAGTCTTCAAAAGAACAACTTTCTTTAATATGAGCTGACAGCAGCAGGAAGTTTCAAGTCTAATAATGGCTTGGAACGTTTGTGTGGTAAGAGTGGCCAGAGAAGCATTGGGTTAGGGAGCCCGTACTGCTCGGACTAACTGTTGTAAAACTTTCATAAAGGCCAACTGACTTCACTTTTCATCCAGGAGCATCTGACACTTTTTTTTTCTTTGGCAATTAAAACTCATTCAGTACCAGCCAATTCTAGACCAAGTCTGAAAAAACGTTTAAAAACGTCTTTGGGAGTGAATGAGTTAAACCCAATCGGAGGACTACACACTCGAATTATCTCTGCACTTCACCAGCAGGTATATTATTATTATTATATTTTTTAAAGATGTTGCATCCTCTTATCTTCACTCCCAGATACAGAAATCCTGCTTGCGCTATGAATCTGTCTCCCCTTCAATCCACCAGCTGTTCTTTTCATCCCCTCCACCGCGAGTCATCAGATACTCCTGGAAGCCATTCCCATCTGAAATCTTCTCTGTTTTTTTTTTTTTTTTTTTTTTTTTTAGCACGACGTGTACAGCCACGGTGTGGCGAGTGTCACTCTGGGAAATTACTATAGTCTGACATATTATTGTTGTCTGGGACAAAAGGAGACATTTTAATGTAAGAGATTGCTCCTTTCAAACAATAAAAGTGTGTAGAGTTCAAATGACTTCTAAAGAAGTCTTCAAAAGAACAACTTTCTTTAATATGAGCTGACAGCAGCAGGAAGTTTCAAGTCTAATAATGGCTTGGAACGTTTGTGTGGTAAGAGTGGCCAGAGAAGCATTGGGTTAGGGAGCCCGTACTGCTCGGACTAACTGTTGTAAAACTTTCATAAAGGCCAACTGACTTCACTTTTCATCCAGGAGCATCTGACACTTTTTTTTTCTTTGGCAATTAAAACTCATTCAGTACCAGCCAATTCTAGACCAAGTCTGAAAAAACGTTTAAAAACGTCTTTGGGAGTGAATGAGTTAAACCCAATCGGAGGACTACACACTCGAATTATCTCTGCACTTCACCAGCAGGTATATTATTATTATTATATTTTTTAAAGATGTTGCATCCTCTTATCTTCACTCCCAGATACAGAAATCCTGCTTGCGCTATGAATCTGTCTCCCCTTCAATCCACCAGCTGTTCTTTTCATCCCCTCCACCGCGAGTCATCAGATACTCCTGGAAGCCATTCCCATCTGAAATCTCATCATCCCCGCAGTCTGTCTTTCATCTCTCTCTTCCTTCAATCGCCCTCCATCATCTCATCCCTGGCGCTTCCTCGGCCGTGGGAATGGCTCAAGTGAGAGTCAGATCCATGTGGAAGGAGTGTTGCTCCTCCATGTCTACTTACACTGCACATCTACACGGATGGACTTGATGGCAGCCACCCCCACCCCGTTGTCGGCTTTGCAGTAGTAGCGACCCCCCTGCACCCTCTGGATGCCTTCGATGCGAAGCGTCTCGTTGTAGATGGACGTCTCCTGGAATTTATCCGAGGCGCTGCCGGCCGTCTTGGTCCATCGTACCTGAGGACAAGAAATCTGTTAGGTTTTGTCAGTCCAACCAATCATGACAGATCAATAGAAAACAGAGAGAGATAGACTACAAACATTCCTTCAAAGTGATATCTGAAAACTACACGGATAAACTATTTAAGGTATGGCATGATGGTTCTTTAGCTTCCAGCTCATTTGAATGTATTGATTTTCGATGCAATTGCCCAAATAAAATACTAATTCTAATTTTTTTCTAGACTGGTTGTTAAAGCGTGAAGCATCCTTCAAATAAGTCATGTATGGAAGGACATGGCTGATCAAATCATGAAGGACATTTCTTTTCAAATGCCAATGAGCAGAAACGCATGTGAACCTGATCTAATGATAAAAAAAATAAAAAAAACAGATGGGATGAATATGAACTGGTCCTAGAGTTCTGAGTTTGTGCGACTCCCTGATTAAAGTTCTCTCTTCATCACTTGTAGCGACGAAATCAGCCAATGCCATCGAGTGGACACACGATCCGTGACACTAAGCGCTGCAGCAATTGTGGCGTCCGTGACGCTGAGCGCGGACCATTCAGAGTGTTTGCGACAAATTCTATCAGGATTTTCACGCTTGACTCACGCCATCAACAGACACGACGTATTCTCTCCCCTAATCCACTACACAAACATACACTCAGATACACGCTGGCCTGTAAATTTATCGCGTTTGACTTTTATTCTTACTGTGTGTTTGCATATGAGTGTACATCCCATTAATCCCCATTAACCCCTCTATCGGTTATCAACCTCTATGAGGCTATCAGACATGTTCTGTGGAGGAGGTCAAAGAGGATAATGGGCAAAAGTCACTGCATGTACAACGTGTGCGTATGTGTGTGTGTTAAAAAAAAAAAAAGCGTGCTATGGATTAGTGGATTATCAAGGCCCATGCAAACGCTTCGTGTCTGTTTATTCAGCTCTGTTTGTAGGAGGGATTTAGATCAGGCACTCTGCCATTGATCAAACTGGTCAAGGTGAGCAATGACCCAAACTCTGCCTAGCCATGCTTTAGTAACTCCACTTGTGATTCATGCTGTCTGTGCATTTGCGTGTAGCTTTGTAAAAGCCAAAGTGAACATTATTGAAATGTCTTTTAAATTTGACACACCAAAGATAAGAGCGTCGCCTGACAAATTTGAATGAATGAAGAAAAAAAAAATCACCAAGTACTGTAGCGTAGTTTCCAGAATACAAAACACACTTGATTAAAAGCTGCAAAAGCTAAATTTAACCACAACAACAGATTTGGATGTTGTTCGTTGCCAGCGATGGTAGGAGTTGGTAGTCAGACAAACTACACAGACACGGTGGTCGCGCGGCAGAGATGGCTGTATTTATGGCACTTGGTCCCTATATGCTGATTAAACTCAACTCAAGAGGTTTATTTTCACTCCACTATATACTATATCCTCTCCATTTGCTCCTACATTGCCGCTTACTGCTAGGCGCACACAGACTTCGACATTTAGGCAGCCTGCATGCGCACTCCAACCGCGAATAGCTGCTAAATATTCAGTAAGTGGTCTGACTCGGGGCAGTTTCATTGGTCCGGTGTGACGGGTTTGTTAAGTTCATTGGTCAGATGTGACGTGACTATGGGGAAATCGATTGACGGCTTGAAGCTTATCAGTAAAAATCCATAAATAAACTATGTCACATTAAAAGCCGCAGGGTTGAAAGCGTATGAAAAATAGCGTCTTATAGTCGGGAAAATATGGTATATAAAAGCCATCCATCCATTTTCCGATGCGCTTTATCCTCACAAAGGTCGCAGGGGGTGCTGCAGCCTATCCCAGCTGTCTTCTGGCAGTAGGCGGGGGACACGCTGAACCGGTTGCCAGCCAATCCCACGGCACACAGAGATGAACAACCAACCGCGCTCACACTCACACCGAGGGACAATTTGGAGTGTTCAATTAGCCTGCCATGCATGTTTTTGGAATGTGGGAGGAAACCGGAGTACCCGGAGAAAACCCACGCAGGCACGGGGAGAACATGCAAACTCCACACAGGGAGGCCGGAGCTGGGATCGAACCCTGCACCTCTGCACTGTGAGGCCGACGCGCTAAACTCTCACCCACGAGCCGCCCTGGTATATAAAATGATGTATACAATTTTTCCAAAGAGGGAGTTGGGGTTTCCGATTGTTTTTGCATCATGAATGTGTTTAAAAGGTGCTGGAATTCACTTTGGAAAAGGCTTATAACCCCTGCCGATGCCTTTATATAAGGGGGTATACTTGCCGATATTGCAGTCAGTCAATACAAAAGCTGTGTATCATTTTTAGAGGCAGTAAGTGTGAGTCCAACATGTAGTGGAGGTCTTTGTAAGCCAAAGGTCCTGCGTGTCTGTGTGTGTAAGAGAGCTTCTTTGTGAGTATGTGTGTGTGTGTGTGTGTGTGTGTGTGTGTGTGTGTGTGTGTGTGTGTGTGTGTGTGTGTGTGTGTGTGTGTGTGTGTGTGTGTAAGAAAGAGCATGAATAAATATGAGTGCGAGACTGTAGTCGGCCTATATGAAACACGGCTGTCAGTTGTGTGACGGGCAGAGAAAAAGGTGGTGCGAGTTCCTCCACCGGGGAGGTGGATGAAGTGAAAATACAGTGGAGTGGTGAGGTGATAATGTGAATAAAAGAGATCTTGAATGTGATGCAGATGACAGGCAGCCGAGAGAGGAGCTTTTGTCAGCCAGTGACACCGGTAGCTGAATGCCATCACCTGCACGCGCGTTCCTTCCTCAGACCCCAGTCGCCATTCCTCGTCTTGCTTTCTTCAACAGACGTGTGTGTGTGTGTGTGTGTGTGTGTGCGCGCGCACCCAAGTCCCGTGTGGATAGATCTGTGTGGATATCTTTCAATGCTTCTTTTCAGCTTCATCTGTTCAATGCCTGGCGGTTCCTTTTCTTCCTTTGCCTTCTTTTCCAGCAAAGTCTCGCTCTCACTCCCTTATCACATCTTGACTTGAAATCCACTTCATTTGAAGGATGCACATTCCGATAGACAACCACATTTACATTTCTTGTGAGCCCCTTTTTTTCAAAGGAACTCTTAACTTTTTGTGTGTCGTGCAGTCCCCCAGAGAAATGGCTTGACATGAAATGCACTCTGTGTTCAGCTGTGTAGCTACACATTGACTCGTTTCAATCTGAAAATGTATGCCTTGTCAGAAAATCACAGGGTGGAGAAGGAAGTCAATATTTTGTGAATTAAACAACATATAAACAGCCATCAAAATGCCATAATAGCGGACACCACCCAAGTGCATTGTGACCATGTCGTCACGGTTACGAAAACAACAGGGTATTTTCATTTATTTGTTTTACCTCGAAAGAGATGATTGTTCAAATGTTTTAACCTCAATAAACTCAAATATCGTTCATCGGATATATTTCACAATTGATATAGTTTTAGCATGAGTCCATATTTTTCGGACTTTAAGTCAGTGCAGTTTTCAAGTCGCACCAGTCAAAAAATGCATCATGAAGAAGAGAAAAAAACATATATATATATATATATAAGCCACTTCAAAGTAGGGTTAAGTCGCATTGTGGGGGAAATTCCCTTTACAAAGACTGAGACCAAGAACTGTAGAGCGCAGACTCTCCCCTCAAATCCCCGTTTCCTAATCATGGGTGCATTTGGAAATATGTTCCAAGTGCGCACTGATTCACTCCAACCGTTTAGAAAATCAGAGCATTGTTCAAATGTGCCGTTTGGTTATTCAGGGTGCACCCAAAAAATAAAAAAAGGACTGTCAGAGCTCAGGGTGTTAGGCAGTACAGATGGCAACAGTTCAGTTTATCACAAAAGTATAATTTCAAACCAAAGCTACAAACTACGAGTTTTTCCCTTTATTGTGGGGCAAGCGATAAACCAGTATTTGTCTACGAAAAGAGATCCTGTGGCGTTTGCTGTAATCAACACACCAGAAGAGGCGAGAGTTTTGGCAGGGCAACTCATGTCTACTTCACCATGGCAACGTATGTGCTCACTATGCCGTGAGCATCCTGCAGTTCCTAGCAGAGAAAAACATGGCCATGCTGGAGCAGCACTGCCATGTATAGGCGGCTTTGGCTGTAAGCATTTCTCACTGGACCGCTACTATTAGTTTTATTTGTGAGGGTGTGACTGTTTTTATCGGAGGACGGCGCCACCGTGGCTACAATCAAAGGGCTCTTATGAGGAATTCATGAAAGACGGAGACGTGTAAAATTCCCATTAGCGGTCACATCTTGTGTGCTGGTAGTGCATTAAAAACTGCTCATTTGAAATTCAACCATAATGTTTCACATCTTCATATCATAGAGTCGGGGGGGGGGGGCAACTTTATATGCGATACTATTTTGACTTCCAATAGGTGACAATACAGTATTAACATAGCTTGTTGTTCAAAATTCTCTACTCAAAATATGATGGACCGCAGAGCTTTCCGATATGTTGGCCCTATTGTAGAATAGAATAGAACTTTCTCGTCAGTGTCATACATCTCACAATTTGCGACATTGCGGTAAGAAATAGAAGCAGACAATCATAAAAGAGACATATTTAGCCTATTTCCAGAACACAGTTATTCGCATTTGAAAGGTTGCCTACATTATGATGTGGGAAATTTACGAGAGTAGCAACACTCACCACTACTACAACTACTTTGTAGCAGTTTCTCAAAATAACTCTAAAACGTAATTGCTTGATGTATTCATTTTAAAATGTAAGAAAGTCAAATAATGTCACAGTGGCTATGCACATCTATGCTTCAATCTGTCTGTGTGTGGCCCTTAGAGGAAAAAGTTTGGACACCCCCCGGTCTATCCAGAAGGATCACTTCTCAAGTTTACTTTTATTTGTCTGTATTAGCCTCAGAAACTTACCTTTCATCATCCTTCTGTGTCTCTCTCACTCTTTCATTCCCCCTGACATTCTGTCCCTACATGTAAAAATATCTGTCTGGCCACACACAGGAACACACACACACACACACACACACACACA